AAACCCTAATGTAAACCCTAATGTAAACCCTAATGTAAACCCTAATGTAAACCCTAATAATATTGTGGAGAGCTTCGATATGCAATGGGTGGGGAGGATAGACCTGCTGCTCTAGAATGCATGTTTTGATCCGTTTTTCTCTCCGCCTTTTTTATTGCATAAGGTTTTTAGTTAGCACCTCGCTATCTATGTGCAGTATTTTATAAATAATGTCAATTGGTGGTAAAACCACAAAGCTTTTAGGGTGAAACTGGAAGGAAGTCTTATCTCGGCGCGTCTAGTCTTTCCCCAACGTTGTCTACCCCGCATAATCACCTGAGCCATATTATTATTATTTAAACCCCGTCCAAACTCTTTTTTTATTATTTTAATCTGCAAGTATACAGTATTGTCTGCACTGCCATGTCGCCACCATCCTCACCCTTCCAAGTCCACGACCGGCGCTTCGATGCCATCCTGGGCTCATCCCCCCAGCTCGAACTGCTTGCCAGCAACCCCGAGTACCCCTTCGCCCACGAAGCCGGCATCTATCTCCCCACCACCAACCAACTCTTCATCACGAGCAGCCGCTACACCGGCCCCGACGGACAGCCTAAAATCCAAATCACCCGAATCAACCTCTCCGAAGACAACACCCCCGTAACCTACGACGAGATCCCCACCGACATCCCCTTCGGCAACGGAGGCATCAACTACAGCAATGGAGACAAAGGCATCCTAATCTGCGGGCAGGGCTCCCTGACCGTCCCCAGCGGCCTGTACCACATGTCCACCGCCGCCCCGTACACGACGACGCTCCTGAAGGGCGACTTCTACGGCCGCCCGTTCAACTCGGTCAACGACGTGGTGGTGCACTCGGACGGCTCGGTCTGGTTCACAGACCCCTCGTACGGCTTCGCACAGGGCTTCCGCCCGCCCCCGCGCCTCCCCAACCAGGTGTATCGCTGGGACCCCTCGACCGGAAATACCCGCGTGGTGGCGGATGGTTTCGGAATGCCGAATGGGATCTGCTTCGCGCCGGACGAGACCGTGGTCTACATCACGGATACGCAGTATTTGCCTGGGACTGGGGGGGTGAATGAGCGAAACCCTGCGACCATGTATGTCGACTTTGCCTGGGTGTTTTTATTTTTATTTTGGGAGTGTGGGAGCTGATGGAAAATTTAGATATGCGTTCGATGTGGTGCGGTACCACGACGAGCCGTTCCTGACGAATCGGCGAGTGTTCGCTATGACGGACGCGGGTATCCCGGATGGGATCAAGTGCGATACGTTGGGCAATGTCTACAGTGGCTGTGGGGATGGTATCCATGTCTGGTCGCCTGGGGGTGTCTTACTGGGTCGCATTCGCGTCCAAGGTGGGGTGGCTAATTTTTGCTTTGGGAAGGGCGGTGAGATTTTTGCGTTGAATGAGCATCGCTTGTGGAGGGTCAAGTTGGGGGGACATGTTCGCGGTGCCTTGCTGGGGATTTGATCCATTGGGATAATATTCTGCTGCGTGATAACGATGTTTGGAAAGATGAAGAAAAGGGGCTCTCTGGGGGTTCTCCCCCAGAACGTATGAGTAGATTCTCTCTGCACAAATGGGGGTAATCGCAACCGCCGGCCGGGGTTAAAGATGCCTCTTATGATCGATACTTGAGAGACATCGGGCAGAAACGGCAATCTAGACGAGGGAGTTGAGTAAGCGAGTCAGCTAACGTAATTGGTAAGCGAGAGAGAGGGTAGGTGGCGTCGACATTAAAAGCGGGTCGCGCCACGCGCGCGTCACCTGACCGCGTGGAATTTGCTTTTACCGCTAGTATGTAAATTATTTAAATAACAGTAAGTTCCTTGAATTTCACCAGGGGTATTAAGCATCTTTTTTCTTACAATTAAGAGACTGTTCCCAAAGTACTTAACAACCACTTAATAACTGGTTATAATAGATTTTGAGGATCCTAGCTTTTTCCTACAAAATAATCTCTTCTAATTAATCAAGAGTGAATTAAGTGAGGAATTAGGCGTTGTATATTAATTAAAAATAATTCTAACTGGCTGTTAAATGCTTTTTAATTAATTAGGTTGATAAGAGTATTCTGATTCCACTTACCAACACTTTAAAAAACCTATTAAAGGTTTAAAAGCTGGAATATAGTAATGATCTTTCTGAATATCTATTAACTGATCTTAACGGGTATGGCTATATTATAAACATATCTTTTAATTAGTAAAGGGAAACAGTTAAAGATATGGTTAATAGTATAAGTACTTATCTAGTGCTTGGTAAGTAATTACTAACTGCTTATTAGATTTAATATTATATTTAGCAAAATTATTGTAATAGGCCTTGCAGCCAGTTCTTATTTCTTAGAATATTTTACTTTAGCTTATTCTATTAATATTCTGAGGTAAGGATTTGTAAATATGTAAGTATACAGCTTAAAAATATATACTATATTTATATTACAGATAATCTATAGGTTATTTTGCAAGGCATTTAATATAGGATTAGTAAGATTAAAAAAAATATAATTAAAAATACTGTATATAGATATAAGTACTTAACAAGCACTTAGTAACTGTTGTATTACTAATTTCTAATAGATTCTACTGCACAGCAAAGAATCTTTTTAATAACTAATAATTTTGTTATAAGTTTTAGGATTCCTGCCAGCTACAACTATTTCAGGCTTCTGTTTTAGTAATCTAACTACTTATATATTACTTAATAACTGCTTTCTAATTAATATAGAATCTATTAGGTGGCTTTAACTTTTATATTAGATATATAAATATACTATCTGATCCTGCTGGTTATTATATCTATTAAGTTCCTAAAAATAGCTTAGTTTATGTTTAATTTCTTAAACGCCTGTTTAAAAGTGAGATTATTATTGATACAGAGAAATATAGTGCAATTAAGTTAGTTAAATCAAAGTTACTTTTCTATAGTAAGTATTTAGGAAATGCTGCTTAACTGTTTATTAGCTGCTTGCTAAGTACTTGGTTAGCATATGATTATTCCTAAGGACCTGGAAAATTAGTATATACTAAATATAAGGTTACTTTTCACTGGTTAATTCCTACAGATCTTAATTATAATTCTTATTTTATCTTTACTTTTTATAGTATTTATATACATGCTCCTCCACCTTTTTAAAAACCCCCAGCCAGAATTATAAATAGAATTCTGCAACTAATTAATCAGGCTTGAAGCCTAAGCTTAATACTTGGTAAGTACTTCCAAAGCAGTTTTTAATTAATTACTAAGGCTTTAAAATACTATATAGGTTCTTTTCTTAAGAGTCCCGCGCTGCAGTTATTTTATACTAAATATAATTGTTATATAATTTAGCAGATTTATAATAGTTTCTTAAACCTGGACCTAATTAGGGCTATTATTAGGAAACAGCGCCTTTTGCACTACCCAGCAGGTTAAGATATTAATAGTATTATTTTTAAATTAGTTAAGAATATAGAACTTTAGGTAAGTACTTTACAACTGGCTGACAACTGCTTGGGGACTAATTAAATACTGCTTAGAAGTATGTTTAGAAGATTTATTAAAATAATAACCAAATTTTTATTATTTATTTTTTTAAAAACCAAGCTGAACTTCTCTATATTTTATCTTCAGTTAAGATTAATATGTTATATAAGTGTGTTTAATCTAAAGAGCTAAAAAAGTTAGTATTTACTATATATCTAAATAATCAGAAAAAAAGTATGTTGTAAAAAACTGCTTTCTAAGTACTTATTAACCAGCTGTTAATTACTTAAATTAGTTATAACCCTTTGCCGGGTCTTTACAACTGAGAATACTATGAAAGGCTACTATATTATCTTTAAAAAGGTTTATAATATGGTTAACAAGTTAACTAGTAAAAGGCTTATCTTTTGTACTATTTATAGCACTGGACTTTATACTTTTATAATAGATATGGATACTAAACAGATTAAAAGTATGTCTTAACCACTTTCTAACTGCTTAACAAATAGTAACTAACTATTTAGTATAGGACTATCTTAGTTTTTAATAAAGATTAACCCAGAACATCATTCACAACTCTGGCTTTTAAAGAATATTCTTATTTTATATTAGATATACTTTTTTTAAGATATTTGTGAAACTATTTGCAAAAACTGTTTAAATTATTATTTTAGGGCACGAATGGCAGCACTTCTAGATTATAAATCTAAAAAGAACTATCAAAAATAGTATGATTATTTGATCTGTAAGTACTTTTTAACTAATTAAAAAGCACTTTGTAAGTACTTGCTAATCAGCTATTTTAATAGATTATAAAAACCTGGCCGTGCAAAACTGGGCTTGGTATAAGAAAAGTATAGTTATTACAGCTGGCCTTAACAAATACTGCTTTCTTATTTCTTATTATATTTTTAATCTAGTTTAGAAAAGTACAAATGCAGTTAAGTAGATATATAATAAGTCTAATTACTGTAGAAAGCACTTAATACTTTTATAAGCTATTCTAGAGTAAGTACTAACTGCTTTTATAGTACTTACAAACTGCTTACTAACTGCTTATTATATATATATAGATTATAAAAGCTAGATATATAAGATATCCAGCAAAATTAAGTATATAGCTCTTATAGTATACAACACCAGCATACAACTCAAACTCTTAAAGCAGGATATCTTAATTATATAGCTTATTCTGGTATATTTAATCTATACTTGTAAAATACTTAGCAAGCATTTTCTAAGTACTTTACATATACTTATACTAAGGCCTTTTATAGAGCTAGCTTAATAAAAGGAAGAATCTAACTCTTCTGAATTAAATATTAAGAATAATAACCAATTATTCTTTCCATCTTCTAGTAGTGGAAGGCTATTATAAAAAACTCTAAATTAAAAAGACAGTTAAAAAGGCAGTTAAAGCCAGTAAGAAAGCTCCCGGGCAAGATTAAGGTATAATACCTTTTAAATATTTAAAAACTATTTATTAAATACTTACCATCTACTTTACTAGTACCTCCCAGGTTAGTTTTTAAAGAGTTGCTACTGCAAATTCATGCAACTAATCTCAAAATTCTAAGCTGCAAAAGTTGGAGGACGAGTTAAAAATCCAGAACTTAAAGACTAAATTACTTATAAAACAGATTAAAATAAAAAAAAAAGAGTAAGAATTGTGTGAGTTAGAGTTAGAAAACTAAAAGTAGTTTTAGTTATTAATCAGTTTCCAAGTACTTATAAAGTGGTTTATTAACTAGAGGTTATAGCAGTTAAGATATATATTATTCCTATAACCTTAATATATCCGCAATTTATCTATATACTTATCAGAATTTCTAATTAATTACTTAATAAATGCTTTTTAAATACTCTGCAAGTACTTTACAAGTACTTGACATTATATTAAGGGTTATTTTATTACTTTGTATACTTGCTTTTGACCTCTAAATAATATATATAAGTTTATTAATAGTAAAGATATTAAAAGCAATAAAGCGGTAAGAGAGATACAGATATAAAGTTAATATGGAATCTGGGGCACGGGCCACATTCCACCCGCCTTTCTGCCTGAGGCAGACTAGTGCGTCGATGCCAGCTTTTAGCGCGTCGAACCCAGCTGGTTTCTGTAAGCGAGAGGAACGCGCAAGCGGGAGGAACGCCGTGTCTACAGGTCATCTGAACTTTTTGAAAAGTTCAGATGACTCGACCCCACTTAGCGTTTATTAGTAAGCAGCTATGTGCCATGCGAACTTATATATTACTGTTTTCTTACTTTAAATTTCATTTTCCTTTGAAATTCTACTATACCTAATTTATCAAGTACTTTTTAAGCGCTTTTTAAGTACTATAACTACTATGGATTCTAATGATATTATTAGTATCAGTTCTGCAGAAGAACTAGATACTTTAGAAGTAAGTTTATTAGTATAATTAAAGTACTTAGTAAGTGCTTAGCAACTAGAGTGGATTTTTTTAACCTGACGGTTAACCGTTTTAAGCAAAACTGTTACGGGACGGATGGATTGTGCTAATCGAAACGTGCCTTAGAACAAGAAGAAATAGCTGAGGAGCTATTTCATCTGTTCTTACGAAATTCTTTTATGTGTGCGCTAAGCTAGTGCTAGTTTAGTACTTAGTATGCGAGGCCTCAGGTGCCAACTGGTGCCTGAAGCCGAGCTCTATAACAGGGCCTTGGTCCCATAACAAAAACGGTTAAAAAATACAGACACAGGTATAAAGATAAAATACTATATAAATCTTTGTATAATTTGATATATTGTAATTTATATTATTACATATAATATCTATA